CAGACACAATCCATCTCCTCCAGTTCTCACACAACATAGTAAAAACAGAGAAGACAAAAAAGAAACAAAACAAAAGTTGAGTGTCTAAGGGTCACTCTGAATTCATATACACAATGCAATAACAATTCAGTGAAATATGCACACATTATCTCTAATCTTATCTATTTTTTTTTAATCTATTGCAAAGGCTGTCTCCCTACTGGGGGTGTGTTTTCCTTCCCTCTGTGTCCCACAGAGAGAAGAGAGAGGAGGAAGGGCTCTCTCTCCACTCCTCTTCAAAAGGAGTAATCTAATTGGCTTTCTATGTGAGGCAACGCCTCTTGGACCCACCTCCTAATTTCTCAAGAGCTTCCAGTCTAGCCTGGCTGTCAAAGGGTTAACATCGTCTCCAAACCCATGGTCCAAACCTAGTGCATTTAATGCACAGACAGCGCATCTCACCCGTGGGTGCTGTGACACCCCTACTTTCACTAAAATGTACACTTTTTACTAGTGGAGTCATTAAAAGAAAACTTATCTCAAGTAAGATTTATTAAGTGACAACTAAGCCAATCATAGCTATTTGATTACAGTTGAAGCACAGTAAGGTTACATTTGCATTTAATCCTCCTGTCACTCATCACTGAGTCAGAGCTCAGAGCTCACACATGGAAACATGCTGCATGTAGCATCCTTCTGAAAGAGAGTAAGTCACCCAAACGAGGTTTTTAAGATAAATCCACCTCACAAAACAGCATAAGTGTAACATTTTCTCCTCTTGGTTGTTATTTTAGCTGTATGTATTTACTCCCATAACTTTACAATGTAGCAGAAGTCCCCTTTGCAGTTTTCTAAATAAAAGCACATTTTATGTGAAGACCGGAAATAAAGAGACTAAGGCGTAAGGCAATAAGAAAAGCAAAATAAGGCATCACAAAGAACCGTTTTGAATCTGGTTTCTAGACATCTTCACCTATTTTAAACCAAACTATATGTTCTTTTGAACAGACAAAATCACAGCATAATGTGGTCACACACATACGCTCCAACAGACAGAAAGAGAAGTTCACACTCCAATCAGCCGGCAGTTCTAAACTTTATCAGGAATTTTTCTGTTCTTTTCTCGAATCTTGCTACCTGAATGGGTACAGACTATCCTCGCTGGTCTCTCCACTTCTGTTAAAAACAGATACTATATACACTTATGCTATGTATAAACGTCCTTTATTAGGCTCATGTGTATTTATCAGATTAAACAAACATCCTCTGAGGGGCTCATAGATTTTTATCACTGATGAAGATCAGATAAGTAAAAGTCCTCTGAAACAAAGGCTCATATTTTTTATCAAACGGATATATAAACGTCCCCTTAGACAAAGGCTCATATGTTTTTAACACTGATGAAGCAAAAATGTCCCCTCTTATAAGTTACTAAATCGCCTTTTAACCAATCACCTGCTATATATGCCTATTTATTAATACATCTATTCTATTTATCAATCACACATATACAAGAACATTTCCGGATCAAATACACATCTCACACCACACAGACCTCTCAAAACCATCCAAATCACAACACAAGAGACAAGACACAGACAGAGACAGAGCCCTTCAACAGCCACACACATTCAGTTCAGATTTTGAAGTCGACTCATTTATAATTTTCCTCTATCAAATTTTTACTTTGGCCAAACTTTTAACAAATTGTCTTTTAACAAATTACTTCACACTGCATGCTTCAATGCACACTTTTTCCTTTACTTAGCGCTTTTTCCCACTTTTCTCAAAACTCTTATCTTTATTCCTTATCTTCACTTTTCATCTTTTTACTTCTCATCTTTACACTTCTCATCTTTATTTCTCTCTTTTATTTCTTCTCTTTATTACCTACATTATACGTTTATTTATCAAATACCCTGGCCAGGGATCCCCTTTGTTTTATTTTTACTCAAATTTGACTACTTCTTAAAGCCAACTTTCACTTCAGTGTCTAATTTACACATGACTTACTGTTAAGAGGATACGGGCCCTGTCCTTGTTAAACTTGCATAGTTTTTTAGCTAACTGGTCTCGTTACTAGTTGCGCTTATGCTATCATTACCTTTCAACTTTATTCATCTCTTCTTCTCTTATTTATCTCTTCTTTATTTTATTCCCCTTTATCTATATACTTTTTAACTCAATAAACCCCAATTTAGACAGAGAATTACTCCAACATCAACACATCATTGCACTTCAGTTCTTTGACAGTGCGGCCAAAATTGCCGATAGACGACAGAAACAGCTCCGCAATATATGCAGAAAAAAAAGAAAGAAACACTTACGAAGTGATGGAAATAATAAACAAGCTGTGGTCCCCTGCAGAAGGCCCCAACTGATCCTGTTCCGTGACGCCAAAATTGATGTGGATTTCCTTGTTGTTGACATGTTTGATGATGAAGAAATTCTCCGTTGACACTGACTTGCTTACATAATGATCATTTTATTGACAAACAAGTTACAGCATCGCCAGGCTCGCCATGGTTCGACCTGGGAGAGACACAGCCAAAAGTGATCTCTCCCCTTACACACAGAAACTCTGGTATTTATGGACACACCTCACAGGAGAACAACATAGGGACATCTGTTTGTTTTCAGGACACCCCTCTTCATACAACTGCAGGGGTTTCTGTCTTAGTCATATGTATGTCATATGTATGTCATAAACTCAAAGGACAACACAGGTCACAGATACAATCTCTTGTCCAGAAGTCCCTGGGCAACTCTCTGGATACAGGGGCCCCATTGTATACATTCCACTGAGAGGGCTCCTAAATCTCCTTCAGATACTCCTGATGCGCCCATTGTAAACTTATATTACCTCTGTCCTGGTTACATCAGACACTTCAAAACTCAAGTGGACTATTGGCAGATATTTTCAAGTGCGGAAGCCAAACAGTGCAGTAGGGAGATAGCGCTGCCTTGCTATTTGCGCATGTAATTTTGGGTTTTGGCCTGTAGAACAGACCACAGAAGCCATTTGAACTAAGCACTTACAGATTTATGGACTTCTGATGACCATTTCATCACTCTTTCTGACATTTCATTGGCTCCTTTTAACACACCCACATATAGCAAGCTTTAGTAGTGCAAAGTGAGTGCAGGATACACAAATAAAACAGTAGACTCGACATGTCATTTTACGCATACATGTATTTTATATTTACATGCAGCTTGAGGTTCACACACCTTATGTTTGCTTATTTGGGTATATGGATTATAATATATTGTGGGGCATGTAGCTCGGGTGTGTATTGTACTGAGAGACTGTGAAGCAAATGTTGATGATGACATAAAGAGGAATTCTACTTTTACTACTGCTGCTACTGATTTCATTGTAATAAAAAATTATAATAATAATACTTTATTTATAAAATTAAATTAAGCAGTGTATAATTATGCAAATAATACAGTAACTGACTAAATAATTAAATTATTGTAGGCTAGATGTGTGAATTAAAAAATATGTGTAAGAGTGAGGTGGTGTTGTATAGTTTTTATTATAAACAATGTTATTATCACTACAACTTAACATCATACAAATTAAAATGAAGGTGAAGAAAGATAAATACGCAATAGATAAACTAAAAAATATATATTTTCTCATTGTCAATATGAGTACTAATCTTACTAATAACCATAATAATCATCGTCCTTAAGGCCATCAGAAATCATTTGATTTAATAAAAGTAAAAGCATAGGCTGTGTGTAGCATGTGTGCTGTGTTTTCTTTCCGTACGTTTGTTTGTTTAGAGTAATTAGTCTTTGTAAATAGCATGTGTGGTACAGTAGCTGTGGCTCAGTGGTAGTCGGTCGTCTCTCAACCTGAAGGTCAGGAGTGCAATCGCCATCTCTTGCTGTACATGATGAAGTGTTCTTGGGCAAGACACTGAACCGCGTAATGTGAATGTGTATGAATGTGAATGGTATTAGTTAATACTGATGGGCAGTTTACAAAGTGGTCTTTTCAATCAGAATGTGGAGTAAAAAAAAAGTATTTTTGAGTATTGTTAACCATATGAGATGTAAGCTCTGTATCAAAACGTTTTGTTTTGCTGAAAACCCTACAAATGAAATGACATTTCATCGGTGCAAGTCTGCTCCTTCACACTGAACAAGGTGAACTGAGCACACCAGAGGCAGATGAATGTTGACAGCAGGCATTGTATCCACTGTAAAATGTTGACATTGATAGAAGTTTAGTTTCTTATTCTGGACAGACGTTAGTAAGGTCAATGGAAAATGCAATGCAAGAAATGTGATCGCATCATCCTCTTCAAATACTTTTTTGAATATACGTATATCTTAATGTGTGTGTTGGTGTGTTGGTGTGTTAATGTTTCCGGTACAACATTAAAGAAAACTACATAATGAGATCACTATTAGCATGAATATTTTTATAGAAAGTGTAACTGTTTTTTGAAAACAGTATACAAAGGTTACCCACCAAATAGTAATTAAGAAACAGTATAGACAACAATAAAAAGGTATTCATTAGTGCTTAGTTAGCGCTCACAAATTATTTTTTAATATCTGATCTTTTCAGCTCAAGGTTTTTTGGTGTTATGGTTTTATTTTGGGGACTTTTACCTTAGCTGGAATCAAGGTTTGAAGATATTCACTTAATATGTTGTACATTTTGTAGAGTCTCCTGGACAAAGTTGGGTTTTATGGCTATAAAATTCCAAAATAGTTGTACTTGAAAAATAAAAATCTTTATTAGTCTTATTTTTTCTAGAAAATCATTATTAAATGAATATAATTTTGATTGCCGTATGGCTGACTATGATGAAACTCATCCAAGTTATTCTAAATCTTTTTTTTTTTTTTCATTTTGCAAATTCTGCTACATTTTTATTGGCTGTAATTTCTCATGAACTATTCAAACATGTTTTTTTTTTTATAAATAAATAAAAGCTTATAACATGTCTACTTAACATTGATCAAAACACTGAAGATATATTTTTTTCTGGTGGCAGGTGACCTTCACCAAGCGTAAGTTTGGTCTGATGAAGAAGGCTTATGAGCTGAGTGTGCTGTGTGACTGTGAGATCGCCCTCATTATCTTCAACAGCACCAACCGTCTATTCCAGTACGCCAGCACAGACATGGACAAAGTGCTGCTCAAGTACACAGAGTACAGCGAGCCGCACGAGAGTCGCACCAACACAGACATCCTGGAGGTAATGTTCAAGCTGCTATCAAAGGGAAAGACAGTAAACAACATATAAATAGTTTTAGAGCACGAGATCAGAAACAAGAAGTTTAGGTATCACATCTTGTTCTTGTTTCTTTTAATCTTTATGCTTTCATTGTTGGTCATTCTTCCCATGAACTTTCTGTTATGTATCAGACTCTGCGTAGGAAGGGCCTTGGCATGGACAGCACTGAGCTGGACAGTGAGGAGAGCATGCAGGTGGCTGCAGACAAATATCCTCTCACTGAGGGCATGGATCTCTCTGTGGCACGCCAGCGCTTCTATGTCAGTATACACACACTTCTGCTGTGCACCACACATAAACAAATGCACACATGTACACGCCACACACACACACACACAGACATGCTGACTGGAAGTATACCTTTATATGTGATTAAATTGAAAGAGTTTAAACATTGCTGGAATACCCAGAGAAACAATTTGTTTTTTAATTGGTTTCTGCTCTTCAGGCCCCATCACTTCTTTCACCAGAGGCCCAGTTTCTAGTGTCTGCGGGCTGTGAGAACGGCTTTCCAAACTCTTCTGGATCCAGCATGGTGTCCCATAGACCTCAGGGCTTTAAATCTTTGAGTTCCAGACCCGGCTCTGCAAGCCCTGCTGCACAGCACACACACAGTGCATTTATGTCTCCACATGCAGGTGAGCTGAATTCATATCCTCTTGTCTTAAACAGTGAAATAATTATTTTAACCACAATATAAAAGTCATTTTGTAATGACTTTTATATTTTGTAAAAATGCAATTCAAGACCAACAGATTTCAAAGGGATCGTGGATTTTCACACATTTTACAGTACATAATATGAAAATATACATTTCATGCCCTTCAATGTCCATTACCTACATTTTGTACAAAAGCTATAAAATATGAGAAATGAAAAAAAAAACTGGTATTAAACTTAAACCGTCTTCTGGAGGGATTTTATTTTTATTATATTGCATCCGAGACATCAGCAAATCCCAGTGCATTTACAA